TGAAACTAGAGATTTCTAGATCATTTGTTCTCCCTTCCTCCAGTGAGTTCCCTAGTCCATAAAATAAATAGTCCAAACAGTTAACTACTCTTCTATCATCCAAGACTGTGTGGATGTGAAAAAAAATGAGCAAACCTGATTAAATTCCCTGTGATTTCTGGTCTTGCGATGCTTGCTGATTAAATGCACTTCCAATCCTTAGATCAATGAAACTGCGGTTTGCTTAGAGATGTGAAATTCCCACCTTATAAGTGAAATTTTCAGCAGGCTTCAAAAATATTACCACGTGATGACCATATATTTCTTATTTAATTGCACACATGAGGGCATAAAGGGAACTTAATGGTTCATCTATTCCAGCCTTCAATTGCCCTGGCCTAAACTATAAATTATTAATTGCCACATCATGGACCAAATGCAACCACAGTATTGTTATGTGTTCTCTAAAGATCCAAACAAATTCAGGTAGAAGGTCTTATGCAGGGGTCCACAAACTAAGGCCTGGGGGTCGGATGTGGCCCTCCGAGGTCATTTATCCAGCCCTCACTCAGGGTCAACCTAAGTCTGAAAAGACTTGAAAGCACACAACAGCAACAACAACAACAATCCTATCTCATCAGCCAAAAGCAGGTCCACACTTCCCATTGAAATACTAGTAAGTTTATATTTGTTAAAATTGTTCTTCTTTTTAATTATTGTATTGTTATTAAGTGTTTTTTGCACTGCAAATGAAATATGTGCAGTGTGCATAGGAATTCATTCATGGTTTTGTTTTTTTCAAATTATAATCCGGCCCTCCAACAGTTTGAGGGACTGTAACCTGGCCCTGTTTAAAAAGTTTGTTGACCCCTGGTCTTATGTATAGTTTCATACTTATTGAACATAAGGTTGCTATATCACCCTCACTGTTGCATTTTAATTCAGCTTTTACATACAATACCCTGTGCTAAATCTATCATATTCAAACCTGTAAAGCTCTAATTCTAAGAAGGAAGTAATTTTGATTCTGTAATTTTTTTTGCTCTACTATTAGCGCCAAAAAAAAAAGACCTGTCTCTAGGATTATCGTCTAGAGCAGTGGTTCTCAACCTATGGGTCTCCAGGTGTTTTGGCCCACAACTCCCAGAAATCCCACCCAGTTTACCAGCTGATAGGATTTCTGGGAGTTGAAGGCCTAAACATCTGGGGACCATGAGGTTGAGAAATACTGGTCTAGAGAATGCTTGTTAATTCAAACCCAAGGTCTGCGAGGCAAATCCTGGATTACAGGATGCTGGACCATAACTCCTGTATTCTTCATCATTAGACATTACGTCTGTGTGATCAATGAAAAAAAGTTTCAATATTCATTACTAAATTGGGGTGGAGTTAGGGTTAGAAAAAATTTGCGGCAGCAAATTGTTTCTAAAGTATTTCTAAAATACCATTAGGGGTCTATATCGTTTGTGTTTTTTGTTTGTTTGTTTTTTACTTTTTCTGTTATGTAATTCTGCAGGGAGCTTCTGGGGCTCCTTTCTCCCAAGTTTCAGAAAGTTTCAGTCATTCACAGATTTTGGGGAATTTAAAAAAGTTTTTATGAACAACATTTTTTAAAAACTAGGCTGATTCATATGTCCTGTCCTTCCTTTTGGTCCATGGCCATGTGCTCTGTGTCAGGAGGCCTGATAGTTGGATGGCTTGAGATAGAGATCATGACAAAGAGCTATCTCCTTGAATTTCTATTTCCAATGATACAACATAACCAGGGCATCATTCTACCCAAGTTTCAAAAAGATTTGCACATCTACTGATTTTTAGGGAATTTTAACCAACATAAACTTTACAGTACTATTTCACTGAAAGACCCCAGAGGCCATCCAGTCCAACCCCCTTCTGTAGGCTGAAAAAGCACAGTCAAAGCATCCCCAACAGATGCCCATACATAATAATAACAAAGACATCGATGACAACAACAACAACAACAGGAGACCTACTAGGTAAATTTTGAAGTTACTGCTTTTCAACTTTGCCTACCTTACAGCGTTGATTCAACTCCCAACAATACCTTTTTATTTCAAAATCTCTTTAGAAAATTAACACATATTTTCCCCACCAAAACTTTCAGGGAAGAGAAGGAGGAGGTACAAGGCAGTAAGCAGAATTCTGGGAAAAGTCGCTTGAGAAGGCAAGGACATCTGTGGCAGACAATTCAAAAGGCCCCACCCTAAACTACATTTCCCAGAATTCTGCTCACTTCCTATCTTAAAGTGCTTGAGTTTACCTGCTCCAATTTGGTGAAGTTACTTTTAAAATGCAGGTGCTACATTGCCTCCAGGTCAGCAGTGCCGGAGAATTCCAAAGGCTCTGCCCTAAATTACATTTCCCAGAATTGTTTGCTTCTCGCATTAAAGCCTCAATGTGAGTGTGGTGTCTGCCCCTCTCTCTGGGTCAGTCATGTGCTGAAGGGGCTTCTTTCTTGCCTGGCCACCCAGCCAGGCATCCCTCCCTCCCCCTCTTCTTGCTACCCTCTTTGGAGAAAAAAGCAGGGCTCCTCCACTCTGGTCTCACCACCCTCCTCTGGGCCCTTTGGGGGAACCAACCCCAGCTCTCTTGGGGGAGAAGCGATGCCCGCAATAGTGACCTGGAACCATTTACGAGATTTACATAACTCATCTGAAAGTCATAGGTCAATGTTTTGAACCTTAAGTTTTTTGCGTGGCTAACCCTTGTGTTTCTAAATATAGCTTTGAACATACAAATCTAACGAATTAGATCCAACTAATGAGTTATAAAGTTTTGCACACCTCTATTAGACATCATTAATAGAATTGATGGAAGTTGTGATTCGGTAGCATCTGGAAGGCTGTAGTTTGTTCTGTTTAGTCAGGAGAGTGGGGAATTGAGATACAAGGCTTGCGGATATGATTACTGACTTTAACATGTACTCAGAGCCACAAGTGCTGTTGGGTTGCAATTCCCACTATCACCAGTCCGCATAATCAAAAGTGATGGGAGCTGTCATTCAATAGCATCTGGGGACTAAATAATAAAGAGCTCTAACCACTATGTACAAAAATTATTGTTGGCCTTCTGTATCCATGGATTCTTCATGCATGGATTCAATTGATGGCAATCATATGGCTAATGTGATTCTCTGTAGAAGTGAGTTTGATATGCCTGATTTAGAGAATAAAACCACCCTAAAGAAAAGACAAAGTAATCTTTCATCCCTTTAACCCTTCCATCATGACAACTCTTGTTAAATTCATTAACTCTGGTGATCTCCGAAGGAAAAAATTGAGGAGAGTTCCTTTTTATGTATGGTACTTACCATATAACATTAATCAAAAACTTAATGGTGTCAAATAAGTATGCAGAATGCGAGAGAAGGGTCACTATATAAACTATTTAAATAGAAAATAATTACTTTCCCTTATATTCTTTCACCTTTCCCTTATATTCTTGCATTATATATGATTACACTATTTCCGTATCCTGGGAGTATGATAACTACATGTTAAGTCAAACTACAATGAATACTGTGCAAAGTAATTATGTAGCATCTTTGAGACAAAATGAGGAAAAAAACTAGTTTGTAATGTAAGCTTTAAAGGGCTGATATGACAAAAGATTGTCCTACAAATGTTTTTCTTTCTCAGTTAGCTACAAAGGTACCATAATGTCCCTTTGCATATTGAGTTAGATTAATGTGGATATGCCTTTGAATTCTGTGATGAATACTGTCCGTGAATACACAGAAGAGTTATTCCCAGGAAAGACCAAAAAGAAGAAATTATCTCACTACTGCAAATAAATATGTGAGCAGCTCAGTAGAGTGGTGCCCAAACCACACAGAAGAACATCCTCAATAGTCTCTTTATGGTTTGGTCTTTGCCATGTGCTCAATACTTAGAACTTCCAAGGGAGTAAAGAAGAACCGGGAGTTCTTGGCAACATATGCTGAAATGTTCTGAACTTTATTAAGGAGGATTTTGATAACACCTTCCTTGATGGAAAAACTTATTATAAGTCTAATCAACATTTGATCCAAACTCTAAATGGTTACATACATAATCATGTGGGATTTACAAGGACCCTGTGTAAAATGTAATCTAGTTTTAATGAATTTCCCCACCAATTTTTGAATGATAGCACAGAGTTGCACTTCAAAATCATACTGTAAAAAAATAAATGGAAGTAACATCAAATGTTTCAGAACTGACACAATAGAAACAAAAATATGAAAAGACTTTTATCAAAGCTGCCCACGGTAGAGATAACTACCAGCAACGGATACACATGAAAAATAACATATGTATTATGTAGTCCAAAAATATCCGGTATTGCTCATTTTCATATAATGTACAGGCTGGTAAAAGGTTGGAAAGTCACAAATTAATTCCAATTTATAGGAACACGAATGAGGAATACAATTAGGCTGCATACCCTTCAACATTTATCAGAACAACATGGCAGGATTTCTGGCCCTTTCAATTGTTATTTGCAAGAGTATGATGCCATTTTTTATTTCTGTTACAAAGCGCAATAGAAACAGGCAGATTAATCCAAAGGAGAAATACATTTATTAAAATCCATACACCTCAAGAAATCTTCCATTTCTGTTTTTCCCCAGTATCTTGATAAACTCAGATGGATTGAGTTTTGGGCGCACATACACACATGCATACATAACTGTAGTGTAAAAGATTAGTTTAAAAATCCAGGAAAGTTTCTCTTTGACATGTATCAATTTACATAGTGAAGAACCAAGTGGCACGTAATCGATGGGCCAAACCACACCTGCCAATGCATATCTTAAAAAACCATTTATGGGTGAGTTGCAAAATCAGGCCATATAAGTCAATGGGAAAGTCTTTGGTGGAATGGGTTTTATTTACCTAGTCCTTATACTGGTCTCACAGCATTCCAAAAATCAAAATTATAAATAACAATGAATAATTTAATAACCATATTTTGAAGTCTGTCCAAAGATTCCTTTCAAGTTCTTCTGTGATTCTTACCTCTGTGATGTTTTCTTGTATTTTCTCCTGCAGGAAAAGAACACAGTAAAGAAAAGAGAACTAAGTAGGGTACGCCTGAAATGTTGGTGAAATTCAAGAGTGAATCAATGTTAAATATTACAAGGGGAAAAAAACAAGTTGTTCGCATTGAACTCAAGAAATAATAAGCTCACAAATTACAAAATTATATAGCTGATAAACTTCTTGCCATCAGCTCCAGCATAGACTGGTTTTCTTGGGATGTCTCAAATGTGATGTCTATAATTGGGAGAAAAGAATGTGTTCCATCCTACTTTGCACCTCTTCATGTAAAAACAAGTGTTCTCAAAAATAGTTTCATTCAGTTCATGGATGATCTAGGGGTTCTCCTGCTCACCAAACCACTGCACCTCTGAATTGCGAAGGAGTAAGGAACTCCCTATTTTATCTCAGGTCTCCTTAAACTGTTAAAACAGCATAGCTACATTTAAATAATTTAAAGAAACATAAAATCTAATTAATATCTAGAATTTCCATAAGCTAGAGATACTGTATATAGATTTCTAAAATCAATATTAAACTTGAAAAGAACATTTTAATACCTAAAAAAATAGTATAATGGCTTGCAATGTTTTTTTGATACATCTGTGTGACTTTAGTACTTTCTCTCTTATATTGTGCTTAATTTGGTTTGTGATACAAAAATTGCAGTTGTTTTCTGACTTTCCCGAAGTTGCTCAGTAGCATTTTCTGAAAGGATTTTATTTCATCCAGAAAAGAAAAATGTATCTGTTATTACAGTTGGAGTGAGGGAGCAGACATAACAATTGTGAATATCTCTAAAAAGGCTCCCAAGCCAGCTAAAGTATAATCTCCACATTAACTGTAATTGGGGTACAGGGCCTTTGTTAAAATAGAAAAATATGAATAAAAACACACTATTTTTTAACCTAACACCTTTCTAGAAAGCTCTAGGTCCCCCAATGTGACTCTGTATTCATCTTGCAGCAAAGTCAATCATAGAGGTACACTGGAAGATTTAAAGATTCCCAGAAAGACCACATTAAACAAATCAATGAATGATAAAATGCATAAAATTCAAACTCGCAAATATGGAGGGTTGACTGTAATTCAAGTTTCATTACTTTCAGCAGAACATAAGCTGGTTGATGACACCTCATAAAATGTTATTTCTAAACTGTGCTTATCCATTCCAGTCACTATAAAGAAGCAATATAAATCAGTTGGTATATAAAACCGTCATTTGCATGTTACAGTGGAAAATAATGTACGAACAAGATGTTCCTATGTCAGCTTATACAGTAGTAATGACTGAGGCCTCGTCGACATGGGTTGCTTAATCCAGAGCAGAAATGCCCAAGAGGTAGCCACACACATTTTGCCTAACTCATGGGCGGGCCAGATGGGTGAAAGAGGCATGTTTTTCTGGGCACAGGGCTGTTCTATCTCTTTTCCATATCCCGGGTGTCCCGGATACCTGCAGCATGCTCCGCCCTTCACTTACACTTTCCTGGTTTCAGTCCTTTAGACTCACTTACACTTTCCATGTTTCAGTCCTTTAGACTCCAAACTAATAGCTACAACTTCAGCACTACTCTCCAAATGTGTGATCCACTGAAACAAGGGTGGGAATGGAAAGTTGCAAAAGGGGGTGGGGTGGGAGGGAGACACAACAAAAGGTAATGTTTGGAGGGTTTTTTAAAAGTAAACTACACTGAAACAGTGACTTTAAAAAAATAATTTATATGAAGTGGTGAGGTCTTGCTGTCACATGACCAGAATATGAGCAATACTGAAGGTGATCATTCTAGTAAATTTCCAGAAATCTGTAATTGTGTGAATGGCAGTAGTTTGCACTTAATAAACTTAAAAGAGGCAAGGAATAGGCAGAATAATGTAGTTCCCGGTAAGCTAAGGCAAATACAAAATTCTGCAGCCTCTCTTGGGCAGTGTATTCTTCCTCCTAACTAACTTTTGCCATCTTAATATCATCTGATGTTCCTTGGTTACACATTTCCTGGCTTTGATCTGTGAAATGTTGGAGGGTATGTTTCTGAAATATCCACACAAATCTGGACTGGGAAATGCCTATATCTGAGACCCAAGAACATTTGTAGTGGCACTAGATAGACCAATGGTCTTACAGCTTTACATGCTCAACAATTCATGTTGAAAATGTACACATAACTTTAAGAAGCAACTCTTTGTGTCAGTTTGATCCAGTGAGCCAACACTACAGGATACCTGAGGGCTTACTATTAATTATCGCAATTAGAGTAGAGCTATCTTAGAAAAGAGAAACACTGTTAAATATAAAGTGTGTTAATATTAAGGTTATGATTCATCAGTGAGTCCTCCAGGAAAACTTCATGGAGTTTGCACTGGTTCTTGAGAATATAATGACCACTTCAACTGGCTGTGCAAACTAACCCTTGGAAGTGGCGAAATTCCAGAAAATGCCTCACCGTGGGTGTTTTCCTTCATTAAAATGATATGGGATAATAGAAGTAGTTTCTACAAAAGCACAATCTCTGCGCATCCCCAGTTGATCACATGACTTCATATCTTCGTCAAACGAAATGCTTCTTTACTCCTACTCAGGTTTTAAAAATAATCTGAATTACTTTATGTTAAATTTGCCTGTAGATAACACCTCAGTAATTGACACTGCACATCTCTCTATTTATTGTATCTGCACTTTCTTAAGTAAATTGAGTGCATTTGCAAGTGAGAATACCTTTTTTAAAATTTCCCAACCAAGCAAACTCCACTTTGTGCCTGTCATCCTAAAAGATAACTCCCTCCGTTAATACCACCTTTTAAAGCATTGTGATTCATAAGATTACAAACTACAATCTCGTGCACATAACATTTCCTATATTGCATTTGTAACTAATATCAAAGCAAGATCTTTTCCCATAGCGGTATTCCTAGGCATTGGTGAAAACCCAGTTATATACTCTTCAACATTTCATAAGTGAAAACCAGAACATCTGTGACTGAACCACATCAGATCAAAAGGGTGTGACGAAGAGATATAAGTTATTGCAGAGGAATAACACGTAAAACTACTAAGTTAAGAAACCCTGAAATGTATGTACTAAGGTTAGAAAGGGCAAGACTCCAACCCCCCTTTTCTGCTCCCTTTTGCTCAATTAATCAACTGCAAATTACCCCTGCATTATAAAATCAGTTTGCATCAACTGAAATTAGATGAAGACAAAGGGGGGAAATGGGAAGGCGGGAAGAAACTTAGGCATTTTAAAAGGAGATGAAAAGGTGGGAGAATTAATCAAGGCTGTCCCTGTCAAACTGGGACAATGTCATTCCTCTTCTAGGTACATTCATTGAGTCTGGCTAAGAAAGCTATAGAGGTCAGATCAGCGAAATCAAAATGGCTTGAACAGAATAAGTAGTTGGATTGTTTGCTACATATCAACCAGCTGTTTTACCAAAAATGTGCTCAGAAGCACTAAACTCAGAACTAAAAACAAAGTCTAGGTTAAAATATTAAACCCTATCAAAGATAATATATTTCTATATGGATCTGTTATAGTGCTGCAATCTTCAGGTGGGAGTGATGCTTGTGTCTCTCTGCCATCTCAGAGTGCATTCAGAAATGCCTACAATGCGTGCCTTCCTGCGTTTTCCCCTGGGGCATCCAAATGAAACCTCAGGTAAAAGCCAATTCCTTCAGCATAAAGCAGGAAAACCCTGCTTAGTGCCAAAGTAATTTGACTCCTGGAAAGATCCGGGTCTTTCAGAAGACCCAGGTCTTTCCAGCTGTGGACACTGTGTGGCTGGGGATCAGGGATTATGCCAGGTGACTTCTGGTGCCCACCCACACATCTGTTTCAGGTTTCTTGGGCTCCTGGAGCCCAAGAAACCCAAGACAAGCCCCACATCCTCCCAAAACCACTTAAGAGGTCTTTAAAAAGAAAATAACTTACCCGGACACCATTACTTTGCTGCTGGCCCCCTCCTCACACGTAGAAATGATGTGCCAAGAGAAGGGGGAGGAGGAAAATCAATCCTGCCCCCTCTTCTCCTAGCGCATCATTTCCACATGCCAGGAGAGGGCTGGCAACGGAAAATGGTGGCCAGGTAAGTTATTTTCTTTTTTTAAGGCTTTTCTGGGAGAGGTTGTTTTGTGTCCGGGTGCCCTGCCAGAATGTCCGGCACGGCATCTAAACACCCTCCCACCAGGAAAATATGGATGTTGGGGGGAGATGTGTGGACTTTATGCCGAGCACAATCATGTTTAAGAGACCTGATTGAGCCCAGCTTAAAGTCCTGTGTGGAACCGCCATCTGGTGTGCTACACAATGACATAGGACAACATTTTCTTAGTAGCTGTTTCCAGACTTCCATGCAACAGGAGATTTGGTAACAATGCCCCCCCCCCCCACCACCACAGCTCTTGTTCAAACAGCAGGCAAATACCATTTTATTTAAGAGATCTTTGGTTCTTTACTCTTGTTGCAGAAGGGGTGTGCTCTTTTTATTTCTTTTTTTAAAAGTTATATTTTAAATGTGTTTTAAATTAACCTTTTCTTCTTAGCTTTAAATTTTAACACAATCATTTATTTGTTTGTTTTCAACTCTCATATAACAGGATATAACAGGATTTTAGCTCTACTTTGTTTTAATTGGCTGTAAACCATATTCCCATTTTTCAATCAGGACAAGAGCAAAGGTGGCTATAGCAAATTATAAGAACTAATTAAACAACTAATAACACAATAAAAGATAGATCAAGTAGTTAACCAGTTTTCATGCAAAATTCTACTTGAAATATCTATGATCTTTGCCAATGAAAGAGACTCATCCCAGCCTTTGGATCAGGAGGAGTTCTGGACTTTAGTTATCGTAACTGTTTAGACTTATTTTTATCTCCTTTTATGTCAAAAAGTTTAAAATCTCCTGCATAATGATGGAGTCATTGGAATACACTGAAATCTTGTCTGCCTGTCATCTTACTATATAAAATCAATACCCCATGTATTTTCTATTAATAGTAGAACTAA